GCTGAAAACACAGTCAAAGGAGTCACTCACTGCTTGAAATAAAGCCCAAGTATATTGGCACAATCACTAACAAACAACATCTCCACAGTGTTTCCAGCAGCGCTTTATTACTGAAAGGAATATAAGTGGAAAATCTTCCTCACTCGGGACTTCAATGATAGCCACCTACAGAATTTTTCTTTTTTAGTGTGAAAAAGAAGGAAACCATAATCCTTTAAATAGGTTTTCTCTTGTAAGAGTTATGGTAGTTTTATGGTAAAGCAGCCTAGTAAGTTAGGGTTCTCAAGTGAGTTAACTCTTTCTAAACTGTGCTCAAGCTAAATTTTCTTGCACATGGTTTTACGAAGGTATCAAGGAAGCTGTTTTCATTCTGCAGCCTCTTTCAATTCAGCAAGAATCTGTTTGAACTGAACCATCATCCCCTGCGTTCCTGCTACGTATCGCTCTGCAGTGTAGGATAATCAAAACCTTCTGGCGACATCAGTTCCCTCATGAGTCCTGAGCACGGTTGATGGTGATGTGCTGATGTGAAGCAACTTTGTTCTTGGAGCCCGTGGCATGTTTATTTTGAAAGGTAAGGCCCTTTATTACATAGGAGCCCGGCATCCAGCATAATGAGAATCTGGGGGCATAAAACTGATACTTGAGGTAATAAGTGAATGAGTGTGTGCAAGAATGAACGAGTTAATATAATGAGTGTGTTGGAGCAAGGTACCCTTAGTCTCTGCCATCTAATTTATGAATGGGTTCCCTCTGTTATGAGAGTTCATCTTGAGTAAGAAATTTCAGAGCAGGTTTGCAAATATGCAGGTCAACTGTCATGTTCCTGAAACATAGTTAATCTGTTTCAGCAGTCTCTTCCTAGGGAAAGCAATCTTAAAATAGCATTTTTTTTCCTAGCCAGCTACCACCGATCGATTATGTGGGCAGAAGAAAAGTGGGTGCTTGTTTACTGAGTTTTAAACACACTTGTAAAATCCACGTTCTATTAATGAAGAAAAGAAGTAAGATGTCGACTTCCTATCTTCCCCACATCTTTGCAATACATTCTGTTTTAGCTGTGCACCTACTCATCATTCACTTCCCTTGTCAATAGATGTCCAGAGAGCTCCACGAAGGTTCATGGTTGTGCAGAAACAATTACACGGTGAATGTGAAGTGAGACTGTGAGCTCTGGCCGAGGCAATCACACAGGTGAATCCTAGGCAATCACAAGGGAATCCAGTGAGGATCTTAAAAGAGTATTAGTTCAGGTCCTGTAGGTGTGGAGTTGGAATTACCCTGGCCATTCCTAACCAGGTGATGCTAATGTTGTTGCTTGATCCTTACACCAAACAGAGTTCTGGGAATCAGCAGTTGATTCTCAGCTAGCCTCACATTTAGCTATTCAGAGAAGATTAAAGACTATTGAGGTATTGAGGTTAGAGTCACTCCTCAGAGATTCCTGACTCGCTTTGACTGAGGTATGGTTTGGGAAACGCATCTGGAAGCTTTTACTGGTAATTGTGACAGGAAGGCAAAGTTATAAACTGATAATACTGTAACCTCACTTTAGAACCCTTGTCCTTACTGCCCTCCTTGTTTTGTATTTCATCATTTCTCAACTTCATTTTATTCCTTATAACTTCCATTTATCTAGTTACTGTTTTTTATAATCTTTCTAATATCTTCAAGGCTCAATCTCATTTTGCTTTGTGATATCTTTGTCTGTCTGGTCCTTTTCCTCTTTACATCCCTGACTCCAGAGCAGGGGTTCTTTGCTCATATTTCTCACCATGGAAGATGATAAATACTGGGACTTTATCAGTTCTAAATTGGTAAGACCTCATAGACCTTTCTGAACCCTGAGAGCTCACAATTGAAGCTGAAATTAAAATGATTCGCATTGCTGTTTAATATTCATGACTGACAAATGTATGACAAATGAAAGGTTATGTAGGTCAATAACCTTGTGTTAAATACATCCACAAGTGATCCTGGTGAGAAAAATCCTTCACGAGTCCATTTTCATCTAATGAGATCCAACATGAGACTTTATTCTAGCCAAGTCAATGACAAAGGCGATTGGCTGTACATCTATGCTTATATTTAGTCCCGTTGTGAATTGCTAGTGAAGAGGTTTACATTGCAGGGAATTATAGGCAGCATTCGAGAATGACTGTTAGCTAATTGCCAATTGGGAGCTAGGTTCCCCAGTCATACAGTTATGACCACCAGTACGAGCTTGTAAGCAGATTTTTTGTGTAGTTAAGCCTACAGATGAGAATGCTATCCAAGCCATTATAGTTTTTCCCTTTTAACTGTGGTGAAATAATGAGCAGAATATGTAAAGAAACATTCACAAAATGCTTCATTTATGGAATTTGTGAACTAACATTTGTATGGTGTATGCCATAATTTGCTATACACTAATAGAAAAGTATTATAATACCTATTAATAAGGAAACATTCCAACTTATGTGACTAACCAAAAATATACTGAAAATGATTTTTTTTTCAGAGATGGCCATAAAAGTCAGGAGCATAGCTTTGAGTTCCTTTTCTTTCAATTAAATGAATAATTAAATTTATGCTGTGCTGGCTTGGAAGAAAATGCCCCCCAAAGAGAGTGTCACTATTATAAGTATGGCTTTGTTTGAGTAGGTGTGGCTTGTTGGAGGAAGTGTATCACTGTGTGGGTGGACTTTGAGGTCTCTTAAGCTCAAGGCACCACCCAGCTTCTTAGACTACTTCCTGTTGCTTGTTGAGTCAAGATGTAAAAACTCTCAGCTCCCTCTCAAGCACCGTGTCTGTCCACATGCAGTCGTACTCTTAGTCACCATGCTCCCCACCACGATGATAATGGAATAAACCTCTGAACTATAAATGAGTCAGCAGAACTAAATGTCTTCCTCTATAAGAGTTGCCATAGTCATGGTGTCTTTTCACAGCAATAGAAACTCTAAGACATATGGTGAGCATGAAAGCACTCCTATAAGGTGCAGTGTCATGTTAGCCATGGTTAAGATTCCTGTGGTTTCATGAAACATGATCACAAGATCTTAAAAGGGAAATTACAGAGGTAAACTGAAAAAGGATGCTTAAAAGAAATCCCACACTAGCTCAGATTTGAGAATATTAGATGGTTATTTATTTAGGGGTAGAGTCACAAATCATTATCCTCTGCTGGAACGAAGAACAGCAACTAAATCCTGCAGGCAGTAAGGAGGCTGGACGCACACTTTACGTGGGCAAAAATAGTATCAGAGGCCACGCCCCAGTGGGCAGATAACTTAATGGCTGTAGAATTTCATACAGCAATAAACAATCAACAAATTTTAAATTGGATACTCTTTTGAGTATTGTGATGAAATCTTTTAGTTTTCTCTGTATCATTTGGGACAGGTATCATCCCTTTGTTCACTGCACTTATGTTGTATATTCTACCTACCCATGAATTACTTGATAGGTGGTTATTATATTAACGACCACTGTATCAAAATACTTGTATTTGATTAATCAATATTTCACTTAATAATTGTCTCACAATACATGGGTATTTATGCTTATAATACCTCAAAGAATAGGTTTAAGGTACTTTCTTTAAGTACAATTGGATATTGAGAGAAGATAAACACATAAGACCTTTATTACAGTTTAGTGTTATAGTTATTTTATCATATTATTAATAAATATAGTAACTCTTATTGTTCCTAATTTATAAGCTCATCTTTCTCAAAGGGATGTATATGTAGGAAAAATCAGGATGTACAAAGGGTTTGATATTCCCTGAAGTTTTGTCATACACTAGAAGTCTTAGGATGCATCCTATGTGGGAAAGGCAATAGTCTTATATAAAAATGAACATCATATGCTATTATGTCTTCTTTAGGTATTTTATATCTTCTTAAAAATAAAAACTATATTTTGTGATTTTATTCTTTCTCAAAAGTTAACCATGATTTAATATTTTATTTCTGAAAAAAATTTCACCAAATTAAAAAATTAAAAACACATGGGAAAATGTATGTTGTTCATGTCATTGACAAAGAAACAAAGGGCTAACTCCCTATATAGAAACAAACTCTGGAAACTTAAGCTCCAACTTAAATAAACAAAAAGATATCGGAAATTCAAACCTATAAGATACATACCAAATGGGTGAGAATGAACTTCACTGATTTTTGGTAAACTTTAAAAGCAGTGATAGTTTTATTTTTAAAAAATGGAATACATTTTTCATAGCTGTCAGGAAAATACCAATAAAAGGTTACTTTCTTTATAATTTGGAGAAGCAAATATATTCTTTGCCTCAGCTGTCTAAGATCCTGTCTCTTTTCCAAGAAATTTATATTATGTCATGATTAAGAGTGAGGTGTGCAGGACATTTTAGGTGTGGATATGATTAGGAAAAAGGTTTTCCCTTAAAGACTCCATGATCAAGCTCACACCTTCTTCCATGAAGACATAATTCACCTCCATGTAGACAACATTCACAGAGATAAGCAAAGTCATCATCACAGACTTCATTTGCAAGGTTGCAAAGAGTGGACAGTGCTTACCTGAATGGCATTCGGTATGATAATTTATACTCAGGTGATAAAGGAGCTAAATGCACGTTGTTTTCATCATGGACATCATCTCAAAGTGATTTAAAAATACATAAAAATAATAATAGCATAATTTTTGCCTCCAGTGGTAAGAAAATCACACCTCTCAAATTCCCTTTTTAATTCTTAAATATCAAATATCACAAGAGGCAGGAAGTATGTGTAAAGTGAAACTCACCAAGCAGATTAGCCCTCCCACATTTGACTGTCGCATTCTGTGACAAGAGCATAATTTATTTAGATTTAGATGGAATATCATTTGATGCATTGTCATGTAACTTCTATGAAAACTTTGGAGAGTCATTTAATTCTTCTGAGGATCAGTTTTTTTTTATTATTTTTTTTCGTTTATATAACTTTATTTGGAAAGGACCACAACAGCACAGCGACACTGAACTGCAGACGATGTCATCGGTGCAGGCATCATCAGTTTATTATAAAAGGAGGCACAGAAATTATTTACATGATGAAGAGCTCAGAACGTCGGCGGAATGGGCAGCTTCACGTGACACCATTTCAACAGCGATCAGTCCACGTACTTTCCAAGAATGTCACCGTCTCTAAATAAGAAATAATCCTTGTCGTCTAGAACGACTTTGGTGCCTCCGTACTCTGGGAGGAGAACTTTGTCTCCAACCTTCACGCTGACGGGTTGAATCTCTCCGCCCTTTCCTTTCGCGCCTGATCCCACGGCCACTACCGTTCCTTGCAGTACTTTCCCTTGCGACTTTTCTGGAAGCATGATGCCACCTTTGGTCACCGTTTCGGCGGCACTCCTTTCAACCAAGACTCTGTCAAAGAGCGGGAGGAACTTTCGGAACGCCTGTCCAGCCATGACTCGCGCCGCCGCCTCCGCCGCTCGGACTCTGCGCTCAGGCCGCCGCTGCAAGGAGAGTCCCCTATTTTTTTTTTTTTTTTTTTTAATCTACGGAATGTTCACTTTTCACAGTTGTTGCATAAATCACCCAATCTCCTGGCTCAGGGGTATCTGTTTCATGCTGAAAATAATATTTGAAGTTGTGAAAATAGTATAGATTGTTTCTTCATATCATCTTCTCCAATAACTGAAATTTTAGTTGGTCACATGACAAACGAGCTACGCTACATCATAGCTTCCCTCACAGCTGGGTGTTGTCCTGTAACTAAGTTCAATAAAATAAAATGCATACAGAGGTTATTTATACATTTGAATGATCTCTTAAAGGGAAAGTAATTTTCTATCCCTGTCTAGTTTCACAGGCTGAAATGTGGATTACTAATAAATCGTATGGATGTAACCTTTGAGTGTGGCAAAGAATCATGAATGGATAGAGTTTAGACCTTTCTCACATACACTCACACCATCCCTATGCCAAATCAGTAAGACAGTGCATATTTGAACTTTCAGAGGTAATGACTATCACCAAGTCAAGGAAAATATACTCTTTTGTGGTATAGGAGTCTACCTGGAATCTTCAGTCATACATTAATATAACCAGCAGTCTAAGCAATCAATACCTTCCCCCATAAATGTCACCTCTGTGTCTGTATTAACCAAATGTACAGGCTTCCGTCAGTCCTTAAAAAACCAAGCTGGCATGCCTTCATCCTTTTGCAGCATGTACTTACATAATTTCAGGACCTGACGTTCTCAGGATCTATTCCTCTCTACGGTATTTCATAAAGTTCTGCAAATTTTTAAACAGTGTTAGTAAACGAACCAGGGCTCGTCATACACATTGGTTTTGTCATACAAATGTCTGTCCTGAGACACAACTCTTCTCCAGTTTTGTTTAAAGTTATACTCTAAGGATTAAAAGTCTCACTGCTTAATTGTACTTACTCATGATTATCTTTAAAAAAAATGGTGAGTTGGTCCTCATTTTGTGTCTCATGCTTTGTTGAAGGAATCAGAGTCTCATTACTTTGATTCCATGTTAACGTCATGTGATTAACTAGAACAATGTAGTATTTAATCAAGCTAGATAGCATAATAGTAATTTCCAAACCTGGCAATGTCTCAAGATCACCAGGAGAGTTTCTCACAATATAAAAGCCACACTAAACTAAGTATTTGCATGGTAACAAATATAGTAGCTAGAAGGGTGTCCTGAGATACATATCACTTATTAGACCCAATTAACATTTGCTTTGTAATTTCATTGCTTTGTTTAACAATAGTTTGAAGATAGCTGTTATTATCATAAATCTTACCTCTTTTTGGTGACTCTTCTTATGTCAATTTATGATATATAGTATATTAACTAAGTCTACATTTGGCTTAAGTGCTGGGAGTAAATTTGTATTCATTTGTGCTTTACAAAGTAAGCTGGAGTGGTCAACTCTGATATACATGCAAATACTTATGTATATTGAGATATATTTTATATATTTTTACATATTCTAGGTTTTCCTAAAGACATTCAGATGGAATATTTCCATAGGCAGAGAGTTCATTCCAAAGACATATACATTTACATTTTTGATATTGATACTGGTTTCCATTTTTTTTTCATCAATTTGGTGTATCCCGCAAGAGAAATGGCTACTTTTTGCCAGGTATCTATATACAGAGGTAACATTCTGCTTTACCCTTGATTATGGATATTAGTATCTTGTTTTTATTCTAATTGAGTTTCTTTCTTTAATTATACTTGCGTTTTTGCCACTCTGTTTATATTTAGTGGCCATTTGTATATGTGCACATGTGTATGCCAGCTGTTATATATACGGTCCATTTTTCCTTCGTTAGATTTTTTTAATGTATTTTTGTAACAGCTCAAGCATAATAAAAGAAATTAGTCGTACTTACATGCTTTGCCCAAATCATTTCCAGTTTGGATGTTGGTAGAATACTTTAACTTAAACACACATGCATTCACCTCTTTCCTATACTCTCGATGATTTTGGGTGTTTAAACCTAAGGATTTGACATCTACAATTTTAGAAACCTTTTCTTTCAGGTGGTTTCCAGGTGGCTGACCACACAGAGAGTTGGAAGCTATTTGCTTTCATAGCAGACATGAATGAGTTAAGTACAAAAACCTATGTTACTAGAGAAGATATTTTTTTGATCGTAGCATGCAGAAGAATCATGGAAACCCTGACTCTCCCCACTGGGAATCCTTTCCTCAAGGGTAGTAATCTGGAAGCTATTTTTCCTGACAAAAGGCTCATGGCTATGAAAACTCTGCTTGGCACCATAGTGGAGTTGAAATATAGAAACTTTCCAAGAAGTGGAAAGAGCTGCAAATCTATTTCTAGGCAACTTCAGAAGAGAGATTCTGTGACATTTGGAGATGCAAGCATTCTCTGTAATGGTGGGGCCAAGTGAAGATGAGAACAACAGCTACCAGTCAGCTATGAAGACCGTCTTGTAAAACTAAAAACTTTTTCATAGATGACAAATACGGCCAAAGCAGTATTGATTCCTTCATAATAAGGGTATAATCATTGATATTATTGCACACTATTATAGATATCTATTACATATGGTAACAATTATTATAGCTGTACTTTACATATTTTGTTAAGTGCCTATAAAAAGAGGCCAGCTATAGAATAGCTACTATCATTCTATTTTTTGAGAAAGAAGTGAAGTTTAAAGGGGTTAAACTGGTTTTCCCGAGACTTTTCGGATAGTAACTAGAAATAGATATCCAATAACATAAATAATGTGTGCATGTAACTTTCAGCACATTCTTCTAAAACGCCCAGTTCATTCATTATTCCACAAATCAAGATGAATGACAGGGGGTTATCCCATAGAATATGTTTAGACTCTTAGAAAGAGCCTTTTCCTCTTAAGGTTTTTACTTTGACTTATGAAGAAAATACAAATCCCGAGGTATTTTCGGGCAGTTTAGAAAATTTGGTTGTTTATGTGGAACTTTTTCTGTAGTTTTGTTCTTGTTCTTCCTAGGACAGAGTACTTATCAAGATGTATCTGTTACTGATTAAGGCTTCTATGTAAGGTCTTCCTGCTTTCTTTGTACTGTTGGTTTTCTTTGTGACTAGGAGGAGGTTTATGGTACTTCCTCTTTCCATGAAGCAATGCAAAAACTGGACTTGGATCTATTGTGTGAAAAGGTTTGTTCTCTTTACTCTGTAATCTACCACGGAGCCAAGGCAGATTGGCAGAGTATCTAAACATGAATGTCTGCTGTAAACAAATCCCATCTAATGCTCAATATTGTCTTCACCAACTGGGCAATGGTGCCATACACCTTTAATCTCAGCCTTTGGGAGGCAGAAACAGGCAGGTATCTGTCAGTTCCAAGCCAGGCTGGTTTATAGAGTTAGTTCTAGGACAGTCATGGCTACACAAAGAAACCCTGTCTTGGAAAGAACAACAACAACAAAATTGTCTCCACCATATTTTCAACTCAGTTTTCTCAGTAGCAGTCATATAACTTATACCCATATAACATTTGTATGTATAACAAATGTACCCACTGTGGTTGCCACGTCCACAGCAGTGACTGCCGTGTAGTGACAAAATGCCTCTGCGCTGGCTTTCGCCTGCTGAAGGATTGGGGTTAGAGCTTCCTGGAGCGAAGCCCCAGGTGGTCCCCTGGCAATCAGTGGTCAAGATAGGACCTGATGCCTTAGGCAGATCTTGTATCTGGAAATGGCCTTGAGAGCGAGCCCTCCTGGCACCCTGCATGATCTTTCTCTGTATTTCTTATCTTTCCTGTTTTCAGCTGACTGCTCACCAAGAAATCAAAGTATGTCCTTGGCTCGGCCCCACCGTTCTTTAAGCAGTCCTTGAGGAACTGAAGCATGCCCCACGCCACATGAGCCTTGGAAACTTTATTAATAATAAAACAGAAGAATAAAAGACTATATAGACAAAAGCTAGACCCAGGACTCTGAGAACTAGTCCCCCACGGTAGAATATGGTTAGTGGTGTGAGACAGAATTCTAAGAGACAAAACTAAAAGTCCTTGCCAACACCTTGAGCACGTAGAAGGAGTTCTATTTTGATTATGCTTAGCCTTGATTTATGTCTGGAACCCTGAATGGGGTGATGCAGTGAGCCTGCCAAGTTCTTTGATCTGTTTTGTACATAAACTGAAGCTTTGCAGAAGTAAAATTGCAGCAGATTTTCACTACCAGTGTGTCTGTCTGTCATTCCCTTGCGTCGTATCCTGGCTATCCTATCCTTCACCCTGTTCTCCCGTGGATAGTGGTCTCCAAGAGGGACGGTCCGCGGCAGGTGGCGCTCGGAACAGGGACGTGAAGGATAGGTAAGCTTTTCCCCCTTCTCTTTTTCTTTCCAATAGTCAGGAACGACTCTCACCAGGACGCTGCAGGTTCGCCGGTAAAGGATCACCGGTTAAGTGTGAGTAATCTAAGTATAAGGGAACCATGGGGCAACATATGACTAAGAGCGATAAAATGATGGTAATTATGCTGCGGCGACAGTTAGCCAAAGCAGGATTTCAGGTCGCAGAAGACGACATGGTAACTTTTACCAAGTTCCTGAAAAAGGTCAGCCCTTGGTTCACGGAGGAAGGGACCTTATCGCTAGATGAATGGAAGCGTGTGGGTAAGGAAATGAGGCGCTATGTGCGTGAGAATGGGGAAAAAACTTTACCTACCTATGCTTATCAAATATGGTTTCAGATCCGAGAACTGCTGTCGGAAATTTCCCCCTTTGAAGGCTTGTGTCGTGACACTGCCTCTGAAACGGGAGCTGCTTCTCCTATCTATAGTGAAGTTGGGGAAGAGGAGGGGGACGTGGAAGAAAAGAGACCATTAAAACCTTCTGCTCCCCCCTTCGCCTCATCTCATCAGCCCTTAGCAAGGAATGATCTTGATGGCGACTGGGGTCTGGATGATCAGCAGGAGGAAACAGAATGGGAGGATGATTTTAGAGACCACACTGATCCTCCAGTAAGGGCAGCAATTGGGAATATCACAAAAGGAAAACCTGTTCCAAAGCCACGCAGCCGCCCCCTACCTCCTGTAGGTTTTCAGGGAGCGCTGGCTGAGGCACGTAAAACAGGTGATACTTCCTTGGGGATATTTCCTGTTACAGAAATTGGAGATAACGATGAGCCCATATGGGAGCCTATGCCCCTTAAAACTCTTAAAGAATTGCAAAGTGCTGTTAAAAGTCTGGGGCCTTCTGCCCCCTATACCTTACAGGTTTTGGATATGGTCGCAAGCCTTTGGCTCACTCCTCATGACTGGATGCAAACTGCCAAAGCCACATTAAGTCCAGGAGATTACATTCTCTGGCGTACTGAATATGAAGATAAATGTAAAGATTCTATAGTTCAATCTATAAAGAAGAGAGGCCCTAAGCCAACAATGTCCATGTTGATGGGCACAGATGACTATGCTCTTCCCCAAGATCAGGTAAAAATCCCACGTGATATATTGACAATAATAACTGGTAATGCCGTTTTGGCATGGCGCAAGCTCCCACCTCCCGGAACCAAGGGTGGAGCATTGGCTAGCATTAGGCAAAAGAATGAAGAATCCTATCAGGACTTTATTTCCAGGTTAGAGGAGGCAGTCACCAGAATGCTGCCTCCTTCGGAAGGAACAGATATGCTATTGAAACAATTAGCATGGGAAAATGCCAATGCTCTTTGTCAAGATCTTATTCGACCTCTAAGACAGACAGGGACATTAAGTGATTATATCAAAGCATGTATGGATGCCTCACCAGCGGTCGTTCAAGGAATGGCCTATGCAGCTGCAATGAAAGGACAAAGATTTAGCGCCTATGTAAAAAAGACATATGGAGGGGGTGCAAAAGGCATCACCACTCCTACTTGTTATAATTGTGGAAAACCTGGGCACATTCAAAGGGATTGCAAGAAATCCAAAAGCTCAGGACGAAAAAGTTTACCGGGCATATGTCCTCGGTGCAAAAAGGGAAAACATTGGAGTAATGAGTGTAACTCAAAATATCATAAAGATGGTTCACCTCTCACTAAAGAAGGAGAGGAAGAACCTAAAGAGTCAAAAAACTAGAACAGGGGTGTTCTCCTAACCCGACACCCAAGGGAGAAGAAGGTTCTCCGTCCCAGGGCATGTTAAACCCTGAGGCATCAGAATTCACTATTCATGATTTGCCTAGAGCTACTCCAGGAAGTGCTGGACTAGATCTAGCAAGCTCAGAGGACTTGCTCCTCTCCAAATGGGATGGAGTGGCCTTAGTTCCTACTAAGGTTTCTGGGACACTCCTCCCTCAGACAGTGGGACTAATCATAGGGCGAAGCTCTAACTACCAGAAGAACTTTGAGGTTCTTCCAGGAATAATTGATGCAGATACCCAAAATGACATTAAAGTGATGCTTCGGCCCTTGGCTGAAACTATACAAATACACAAAGGACAACGTATAGCACAGTTATTGCTATTACCATACATTAATTTACCCAATAAAATATTAAAAGAACAAAGAGGTGAAGGGCAGTTTGGATCTACTGAAGGGATCTTCTGGGTTAAGGAACTCAATGAGAGACCATTTAAAACTATTAAAATAAATGGTAAAAAGATAAGGGGTCTCATGGATACTGGGGCTGACAGGACATGTATTTCTAGCAGGGACTGGCCAAACTCTTGGCCGATACATAAGACGGGATCATCTTTGCTTGGATTGGGATCAGCCTCAGGAGTTATGCAAAGTTCCATGATTCTTAAGTGGGAAGATGAAGGAAAAACAGGACATATCCAACCATATGTTTTACCCTCCTTACCATTCACACTCTGGGGGAGAGATTTGCTGGATTCCATGAATGTTAAACTGGTTACTTCAGATAACCTTAATGAGCAGTATTTTACATAGGGGCCACTGCGGAAAAATTATATGCAGATAAAATAGAATGGCTGACTCAAGAGCCGGTTTGGGTGAGTCAGTGGCCCCTAACAGAAGAAAAAATACAGGCTCTTGAGCAGCTGGTGCAAGAACAACTAAACAAGGGTCATATAGTAGAATCCAACAGTCCCTGGAATACTCCTGTATTTGTTATAAAGAAAAAGTCGGGAAAATGGAGATTGTTACAGGATCTCCGAGCCGTAAATGCAGTCATGAAGGATATGGGGCCCTTGCAACCTGGGCTTCCATCACCAGTAGCCATACCTCAAGAATGGAAGATTATTATTATAGATTTGCAGGATTGCTTTTTTACCATTTCCTTGCATCCTGAAGATAGTGAACGTTTTGCCTTTAGTGTACCTTCAGTGAATTTTAGGCAGCCTTTTAAAAGATATCAATGGGTCACCTTGCCTCAAGGGATGAAGAATTCTCCAACATTGTGTCAGAAATTCGTAGCTCAGGCCCTGCAGGAGGTCAGGCAGGAATTTAAGGAAGCCTATATAATGCATTACATGGATGATATCCTTCTGGCTCATCCAGAACAAAGGACAGTTGAAAAAATTTTAACACAAGCCATTTATAAATTAACCCAGTATGGACTTGTTATTGCCCCTGATAAAGTTCAGCGTGACAGACCATTGAGCTACTTAGGACAAACTATAGGCACTAATTATATTAGTTCACAAAAATTGTCAATTCGAAGAGATAAATTGAAAACATTAAATGATTTTCAAAGGCTGTTAGGAGATATCAATTGGCTAAGACCTTATTTAAAAATTACCACTGGGACTTTAAGCCCTCTTTATTCTATACTTCATGGGGACGCAAATCCTAAGTCGCCTAGGCAATTAACCCAAGAAGCATTAAATGCATTACATATTGTTGAGGAAGCCATTGCCTGTGCCAGGGTTCACCAAATAAATTATCAAGATAGATGGGGCCTGCTGGTGTTTCCAACCGCTTATACTCCCACTGCCTGTTTGTGGCAACACGGAGTATTGGAATGGTTACATTTACCACATACTCAGGCAAAAATGTTGGCTGACTTTCCTTATTTGTGCTCCCTTTTAATTATAAAAGGTAGAATTAGATCTAGAGAACTATTTGGACGAGAGCCACATTTTATAATAACTCCTTATAAGAAGGCTCAAGTAGACTTATTATTACAAAATAATGAAGATTGGATTTTGGCTTTACAAAATTATACAGGTCAGATAGAATATCACTACCCCAAACATCCTCTCATAGAATTTGCTAAGACCGTGGAAATTGTGTTTCCTATCTGGTATTCATCAGAACCTCTAGATCAAGCGATATTAATCTTCACAGATGGTTCTTCCACTGGAAGGGCTGCAGTTTATACATATCATCATGGCTCATACTGGGAAGAAGGAGAGCAGACTTCTGCCCAGCAGACTGAAATAAGAGCAGTAATTTTAGCCTTCATGACATTTCAGCAGCCTTTTAATTTATACACAGATTCTAAATATGTAGTTAATTTGTTTCCAGCATTGGAAACTGCCCTTTTGTCAGGGAAATCACCTATATTACCTTTGTTACAAAGATTACAAATGCTTGTACACCAAAGGAAAGAGAAGTTTTTCATAGGCCACATACGTGGTCATTCAGGTCTTCCAGGCCCTCTAGCACAGGGAAATACTATGGCTGATTTATTAACTCGGTCTCAAGGTGTCTTTTCAATGCAAGAAGCACAAGAGAGTCATGCCTTACATCATCAGAATGCAAAGGCTTTGAAACAAATGTTTCATATTACCAGAGAACAAGCTAGGCAAATAGTAAAGCAATGCCAGCATTGCCCAGTTGCCTACCATCCCTTAAAAATGGGAGTGAACCCTAGAGGTTTAAAGGCTAATGTTATTTGGCAAATGGATGTGACTCATGTTCCATCCTTTGGAAAATTGTGTTATGTCCATGTGGTCATAGACACTTATTCTCATTTCATACATGCTTCAGCCCGAACAGGGGAAGCTGTAAAAGATGTGATTCAGCATCTTATTCAGAGTTTTCAAGTAATGGGTATTCCCTCACAGATCAAGACAGATAATGGGCCAGCATATACTGCCAAAGCATTTGAGCAGTTTTGTATGCAGTGGCATATTCAACATGTCACAGGAATCCCTTACAATCCACAAGGACAAGGGATTATTGAAAGGGCCCATCAAACCTTGAAGATGCAAATACAGAGGCTACAGCAAGCCAACAAGTATTATACTCCTCATCATGTGTTGTCACACAGTTTATTTACATTAAATCATTTAAATATAAATGATCAACAAAATAGTGCTGCAATAAGGCACTGGAACAAGGATAGAAGACAATCTCCATTGCCACTAGTAATGTGGAAAGATCTCCTTTCCGGCCTCTGGAAGGGGCCGGATGTTCTAATCACCTCGGGACGAGGGTATGCTTGTGTGTTTCCACAGAATGCCGACTCCCCCATCTGGATCCCAGATCGCCTCATCCGACCTGCTGTTGCAAAGCAGAAGAAGGAAAAGACGGTGGCGGAAGCAGAAAAAGCAGCTCCAGCAGCAAATGAAGAAAATGAAACTAAGCCGGCCCACGGCAGAAATAACATGGACGAAGATTCGTCATCTGACACGAGAAGCGAAACAGCTGCTCACTGAACAAGGAAAATCCCTGACAGCGTCTATGTATTTCCTCGCCTTTTTGGCCATTATCTCTGCTCCCCAAAGGGTGGAGGGAGTTTCCTACTGGGCGTATGTCCCGAATCCCCCTATCTTGCAACCCGTGGGGTGGTTAGATCCTGAGCCTTTGAAAGTGTTAACCAATGATTCAGTGAGAATGGGTGGTGCTCAGGATTCTGACGCACGAACTGGTTTGTCCTCTCTTATAACCTTTGAGGGAAGGGCAGACTCGCTTCCGATCTGCATTTCGCTTCAAGGGAGAGTGCCTTCGGGTTGCCTGAGTACACGCTACAGTACTTTTCTCACTGACGGGCCAGACAAAGAGAATGCAGGTAGGAGATGGATGTGGGAGATTCAGATGCAGACCTTGGGAAATCCTAATTATCATGACAACTTTACGAAAGTTCATGATCTACCTATAGATCCCTGTATAGGAAAATATAGAGACAAGAATCAATTTTGGGACTCTTCTTTGTCTAAGTTTCCTACATGGCTAGCTTGTGGCTTTTCGGATTCTGCGATGTGGGTTAGGCCTGTTGATTATGATTATGAGATATGGGACTATTCAAATTCTAATTCAGGGGTTAAAAGGAGCAATGGCAAAGGACTTTATGAAGATTACATTGATACCCATAAAGACAAGTACCACAATTATGCGTGGACTGGATTAGGAGAGCCACTTAGGCGATGGTTTTCTCCAGGATTTGTAGAACCCTACTGGTTTGCAAAACATGAAAATAAGACAAGGAAACATACTGATCTTTTTAGACTGGTTGCTGCAGCCAATATGTTTCTGGAAAAGAAGCCCAATCATACAAAATCTGAACCTGTCGGACTGAAAGCCTGTATAGCATATCCTAATGCATTGCTGTTAGCTCAGGCAACTTTTGTGAATATTTCTCAGGAAGGGAAGTCGTATAAAATAGTTTGTCATTCCTGTAAATTGACCAATTGTATAACATCGGCAGAACAAAAAGAGTTAGGTACTATGATCATTGTTAGACGCCCTCCTTTTGTGATGTTGCCTGTAGATTTGGGGAATGATCCCTGGTATGATAATTCTGCTATGCAGGTTTTAAACACTCTAAATGAGTTGATTAGGCCAAAGCGATTTGTAGCAGTATTAATTTTGGGAATTACAACATTAATTTCTATATTAACCACCTTTGCTGTGGCTACTACAGCCCTGGTGCAGGAAATTCATACTGCCCATTATGTGAATGCTTTGAATAAAAATATTACTTCAGCATTATTAGAACAAGAAGCTATAGATAAGAAGTTGGAAGCAAAATTAAATGTGCTAGAGGAAGTAGTGCTCGTTCTTGGTCAGGACATTGCTAATTTAAAAACAACTCTATCAACACGTTGTCACGATGATTTTAAATCAATCTGTGTCACACCACTACCTTATAACACTTCACAGCCATGGGATAAAGTTAAGGCTCACCTACAGGGATTGTGGCGGGATAACGATATTACTCATGATCTAGCCGCATTACAAAAGGATATTTCTGCTATGAGTCAATCTCATTTACAATTAGGGGGACTGCAAGATTTGGCTTCGCAATTGGAACGTGGACTTAAGAGCCTTAATCCCTTAGATTGGGTGCAGTACTTTGTATTCATTGGAGTAATTATACTCTTGATAGTATTGGTCATCTTTTTATTCCCCTGTCTCTTAAAGTGCTTATTTTCTTCATTACAGGCAGTGAAACAGGAGGTGTTCGAGCTTCATTTTAAAAATAAAAAAGGGAGACCTGCCACGTCCACAGCAGTGACTGCCGTGTAGTGACAAAATGCCTCTGCGCTGGCTTTCGCCTGCTGAAGGATTGGGGTTAGAGCTTCCTGGAGCGAAGCCCCAGGTGGTCCCCTGGCAATCAGTGGTCAAGATAGGACCTGATGCCTTAGGCAGATCTCGTATCTGGAAATGGCCTTGAGAGCGAGCCCTCCTGGCACCCTGCATGATCTTTCTCTGTATTTCTTATCTTTCCTGTTTTCAGCTGACCGCTCACCAAGAAATCAAAGTATGTCCTTGGCTCGGCCCCACCGTTCTTTAAGCAGTCCTTGAGGAACTGAAGCATGCCCCACGCCACATGAGCCTTAGAAACTTTATTAATAATAAAACAGAAGAATAAAAGACTATATAGACAAAAGCTAGACCCAGGACTCTGAGAACTAGTCCCCCACGGTAGAATATGGTTAGTGGTGTGAGACAGAATTCTAAGAGACAAAACTAAAAGTCCTTGCCAACACCTTGAGCACGTAGAAGGAGTTCTATTTTGATTATGCTTAGCCTTGATTTATGTCTGGAACCCTGAATGGGGTGATGCAGTGAGCCTGCCAAGTTCTTTGATCTGTTTTGTACATAAACTGAAGCTTTGCAGAAGTAAAATTGCAGCAGATTTTCACTACCAGTGTGTCTGTCTGTCATTCCCTTGCGTCGTATCCTGGCTATCCTATCCTTCACCCTGTTCTCCCGTGGATAGTGGTCTCCGAGAGGGACGGTCCGCGGCATGTGGTCATTTGAATTCTTTAGCTGATTAGCCACTGAGGCAGAAAAATGAATGAATAGTTAGTGATTCCCAACGTAGTACATGATGGTTCACCACATGGACTATCATTTAGACTAGAATACAGTATGAATTCTCATACTCATGGGAAAATGAAGACTGTTTAGATATAACGGCTTTAGAGAACTGGTGCAGGATTTAATGTGTATGTGTAGATTTTAAAAGCCAGACTCAAAGAATACAGTGGATGAATCAGATATAAGTCCAGGGTGTGCTATCAAGAAGATTCTTTTTAAGGGTTAAGAAAGATTTGGGCAGGGCAGTATAATGAATGAGATCTGGTTTAAGGCTCAGAGAAATAGAGACGTCTGTCTTGATTTTAGAGGTCTCTTAGAAAAGTTAATCTGGACTAGGAAATTCATTTCTCTAAAAATTATCTAGATGAATTTTGGGACCTTTAATTGTAGGGAGAAATAGTTAGTATGCCTATGTGTTTAGTTTATTTCTGTCAATCAAGCTGTATCCTAGTTATAAAATTGGATGGAAGTAAGTGGTATAATGCAGAAATGAGATTTGGGGTTGACAAAAAGACAATGGTAGCTACTCAAATGCAAGAGAAATAAGGATTGAGGAAGGTAAAGTGTTAAGAGCAAAGCATTCAGGAGGTTTCATTGATCTCACTATATGTAGATTCTATTAGTGCATTGTGGTTTAGGGATGTCCCCAAATTTAGGTAATGGAAACTTAATCCCTGATGTGACAGCATTGGAAATTAGGATCTAGTAAGAAGTGATTGGCTCTCAAGAGTGCAGCCTCCCCAAATGGATTAAAATTAGCATCTGTCTTGTGCAACTTTTTTTTAAAGTTAGCGAGCCTTTTCTCTTGTGGTTTCTATCTCTTGCATTCACTTTTGCCCTTTGCAATCCTTCCATGACACAGCAGGAAGACTCTTACAGCTGAGTAGTCCTTTCCTCTGAATTTCTGACCCTGCAAAATTGTCATCCAAATCCATCTTTCTTGTTAATAAGGTGTCCAACCTTTGGTATTGTGTTAACAATAACACAAAACAGAGTAAAACAAATATCAACGTAAAAGTAGGACTTAGAGTTCTGTATAACAGACATCTACGTTAATCAATTTAGGAAGGCTACATCCTGCTGACTCCTATATCTGTTGACTTCGATTGCCCTCCCTCAGAGTACTTTGGAAGGAAACTCTGTGGCCATAATTGTGTGCATGGTCTAAAACTTGTAGCAACTTGTAAGGATAATGGTGGTAGAGATGCAGAACACAATAGAATTTAAGGCATTCAAAATTTGCTTTTGATTAGCTTGTCTTGTTATATTCATACCGCACCTCCCTTCTACAGAGCTCAGTGTTCTTTCATCTTGGGGACTAGCAATGTGAGACTCAAAAGTGAAGTTTTAAACAATATTCTGCATGTATGAGGTTCAGGCAAGGCAAAAGAGACACCTCATATAAGTTCTGACGATTGAAGATACCACCATAGAGTTATCTATAATACATAAAGACGGAATGTTACCATCTGAAACATTTATGTATATGGGTATACATACAACGTGGCTCCTTGCTATGAGTATTGGAGACAGTATCACAAACTGATCTTTCAAATCTGATTCAAACCACACCATATTATAAACATATGGCTGAAATAGAATTTTTTTTTTATTTCTTTAGATCTTTGCCTTGTCTTGCGTTACCTATGTATCCCCATTGGACTCGGTCATAGATGGTGAGACCACAGTTTTACTTTATCTAAGTAAAGTAAAACTCTCTGGTCTAGATAATTGTTTGTACAGCCAAAATTCCACTCAATGGAACCAGCTCACTACACGGAACTTAGGCTGTAGTTAACACTATTCTTGGGGAAAGTGAGGTGTGTGAAAGATGCAGACTTTTATTCTTTAACTTTGAGGCTCCAAAGGGTCAACATCCATTTCTGGTGGTGAGGGTGGGCGTGAGGAGCAAATCCATTCTGTAACGCTGAAAAAAAAATAAAAATAAAACCAAAAAGAACTGGATCTATTTTGGAGTCCTAAATAAAATCCTTAGGCTAAAAGCATGCTTTTATCTTCATTTGGCTCTTTGTGTGTATTAATCAAATGGGCGGAACTAAAAACTGAGAGGACACATGAGTCATTCTCAATTAGTGCTTTTTACTGTCATTTGAAAGTTGCTGGTTAAAGTACTCAAGAGCCAGATAAAAATCACCACATGCTGCCTCACTTCTTCATGTGAATTCTGTAGAAAAAAAGCAAGTTCCCTAGAGACACGAGCAGTTAATATTCCAGAGCTGAGGGTGGGACCTGAGAATGCCAGAAAATGGCATAAGGTTTCCTTGCGGAGACATAAAACCGTTCTACGATTAGATGGTGATGACAGCTATGTGCCTGTAAATTTACTATAATAGAATGGCATGCTTAAAATTAGCCAATGATATGGTATATAACACAGACGCTTTAAAAAAATGATGAAGATCAAAATAAGTCATCAAGCAATGAATGCTCTAGACAGGTATGTGATCCAGATAGATAGCAACAGGAAGTGCTGGCAAAATGCTGCTTTTCAGAATAACCTATCCAGGTAAAGAGCATTCTTTAGGTCAAGTTTTTCTTAAATATATGATGTACAATTTAACACTAGCTTTCAGTGAAAAGGGGCCTCCAATTAAGAGCCATGCATTGCCTATTTATTCTGTACTCAATAATAAACATCAAGCAGAGAGCTGGGAAAAAATCCTTTCTACTTCTTCTACTCTGTTAGCACAATTTAAATATTTGTAGTAAACGGCAACAGCCTCTTTCACTTAGACTTTATGAAGAATCATTTGAGTGGTTGGAGAGGTATCTAATTCTTAATTTTTTTTCTGACTAAGCTTGAAAATTAGAGATTTGATTCCCAGAACCCATGTAAATGCTGAGAAGTTGTTCCTTGCCACCTTTAATCCTAGTTCTTAAGATGTGGAGGCAGAAGATCCCTGACTGAAGCTGGCTAGCTAAATGATCTGAATCAGCAAATTCTGGCTTCAAGAAGAGATCCTGTCTCAGTTCATGAGGTGATGGGATAGCAGAGAATATATCCTATGTCAGTCTCTCCCCTCCACATATATCTACTCATTTGTGTTTACACACGAAGAAATACACAACACTCACCCATCACACCACACCATGCATAGTGCACATTCTAATTTTGTACAAGCCAAGTACAATAATAATTCCTTGCTTTTAAGAAATCATATTATGGTAAGGCTTCATACAAACGCTATTAATGTTGGTGAAGCTCTTGGAATGTTTGGTAATCTCAAGCCAGACAGCTCTCTGCTGCCTAAATCAGTTTTCATGGATGGTATCAGGACGATTCACACTGAGGAACTCTGTGTAGACTGGTGACCATAGCTGCCCAAGTTTATGGAACAGTGTGATCTGATCGTCAAAAGTACAGTTGGATTGCTTCTTACAAAATAGTTATTTTAGAAGTAGGTGAAATGCATTTGAGTTAATAAAGTTTCTTCCATGCTCTGAATCACCTTAAGGCGATGAATTCAGATGAAATATGCTTTATCCGTTCATTCTGCAGATGGCAAAGCCACACAAGTATCAACCTGTAGAGGGGAAAAAATCATGAGTCAGATTTTAATTTATTAAAAGACAGAAGGTTTTAGACTTGAGAGTTTTACTTAAGAAAATAAAATAAAAGCAAAAGCCCAGAATGGCTAGAAACATAAAGGATTCAGATCTTCATCTCTGTTCATTAAAGCAGGTTTGATGGGGTGCACATACTTGTGTGACTTTCAAGGGTAGATAAATAGTTATTATAAGGCATAGCTGAAACAATTAGAGAATATTGATGGGAGGAAGAATGAAAGAAAAAATCAGAAAAGCCTAAGTATTTTGTGTACTGAACATGGACCTAAACACTACAGAATATTCTGGAAGTGGCTGATAGTTCATACTGATAACTTCTAAGATTTCACCAATTCTAAAATTTGTGTGTATGTGTGTGTGCAAAACAATGTATAATATACAACTTTATAGCAAAATGTAATCACAAGTGCATGTAATTTTCTATATCACTATATTAATTTATTCTACATGGTGGTTTGTAAAAAAAGACTTGTATGTGCTTATTGAGATCACAGTTGTACATGTTGAAAATCCAAGATCCAGCAGCTCCTCTTCTCTACTCCTGGTGATGGCTTTCTGGTTATATCCCAACATGACGGCCACATGGCAGAAGCACATTGTATGAAGGAGAGGTCATGTATTGTCTCAGGAAAAAAGAGATTGATTAAAGGCCATTCAAACAGTGTAAAACAACATCTTTCCACATGAACTAACTCAGCTTTGCCATACGCAACCCTTGCTGTTTTCCCAAAAGTATCCCCCTAAATATGTTTGTGTGCATTTGCACATATATACATGTGTAATAAATAAGCCAATTTCCATTCATTGCTTTTTAAAATATACAGAATTATTATATGTAGTGATATAAAAGGACTATTTTGAATAGAGAAGATTTAAGTCTTAAGTCTCGAATAATTTTAAAACTTACCTTAGAATATGAGTAGTTTTTTCCTAATAAGATATGTAACACATTTAGAAATCACGTTATTTTTTTAAAGTGCTTTCTTGATCTTTCTGGATGATTCAACTGCAGTTTGCAAAATGTGCTGAATGACACAATTCTAGCAGAAGCATCCTCCTTCTCCTCAAGCTCATACATTGGTACAGGGATGTGCAACACTGATTTCATTAAGATACACCATACGAAATGCACATAATAATTGCTGTTTGATTTGAATGGGTTTCCATTACTTTACAGAGCTATCAAACACCTACTGAAAGTGAGTTGCAGGTTTCTTCTCAGCGAAGCAGAGGGTT